AAGAAGAAGAAGAAGAAGAAGAAGAAGAAGAAGAAGAAGAAGAAGAAGAAGAAGAAGAAGAAGAAGAAGAAGAAAAAGAAGAAGGTGGTGATGGTGATGTAGAGATGGTGGTGACAGTGATGGAGATGGTGAAAGTAGTGACAGTGGTAATGGTGCCAGCAGCAGCGCCAGTGAAGGCAACAGCTGCGATTTATAGTGCGCTCACCAGATGCTCACCCTCCTGAAGTCCAATGCCCACTGCCCCCGGCCCTCAGAACAGTGAGATGAGCAATCAATTCTGAGGCACAGAGAAACTGGCTGGCCAGGGACCACAGAGCGAGTCTGTGATCTGCTTTCCTAGCTGGTGTCTTTAACCGTGGTCCTCTGCTTGTCACTCTGGTCTCTCCTGCATAGTTACTGTGTGTCAACTCTGCCAGCCGTGCCTGGCACTGGATCACTTGGGAGCAGATGGACAAGGTGGCTGCAACTTCAGGGCTCAGGCCCCAGACTGACAGTAAAACAAGCAGGCAGCAGGACCGGGAGTGAAACTGGTTGTGCACTGGTTCCCCCGCCCACCCTCGGGCTTTGTACGAAGGCTTCTGAGAGCCTCGGTGAACTATGGACCAAAGATACAAAATGCAAAGTTTTGCTTTCTGAATGAGTGTCCATGAAAGGTGACAGGAAAGCTGCAGTGACAGAGGTCTGAGTAACAGAGAATGCCTAACTGTGAGAGGGTCAGCAGAAAGTTTTGGAAGAAGAGGCTGCCACACAAAGGCCCTGAGGCCAGACAGAAAGAAGGTGGAGGAGAGAGGGCCAGCAAATGTGTCACTGTGCCCTGTGGATGGTTTGCCTGTGCCTAAGTACCCCAAGGGGTGTGAGCCACCATGATGACCAACAGCAAGCAAAGAAGCCACCAGTTAGATGAACAGGCGGGAGCCCCAGACTCGATCCCTTTTGTTAGGCACCAGGCAGAGGCGGGCACCGTCACCTCTGGAGATGGTGCATCCTGGGCAGGGACAGCAAAGAGCAGCTGCATGCAGCCCCTCCAGACAGAGCTCAGTGCCACTGCACACCCTGTCCAGGGCACTGGTCACCTGGGCTTCCCTGAAGCACCTTGGTCCTCCCTGACTTCCAGGTGAAGTGGACCCCTCCTATGTGAGCCACTGTGCCTGTTCTGGTTGGTGTCACCCCCACCCTCCTGGAGGGACAAGGCACAGTCCCAGCGAGGCCCCTAGCCCAGATATCTCCCTTTCCAGGAGTAGCTGCTGGGCCAGGGGAGCCAGGAAGGCCAGGGGACAGCTTGAGCTCCTGTTTTCCTGTCGTCATGGAAACCACATCCTTACGGAAATCAGAGCCACAGTGGAGCCTGTCCCATTCCATCCCATCCTGTCAGTCCCGTCCTGTCCTGTCCTCCTCTTGTGATGATCGGGAGGCCTCAGAGGCCCGGATGCTTCCACATTCTGCTCTGATGTCTCTTGGTGCTCTGACCCACGGAGATCCAGCCATCACATCCTGTGCCAGGCTAGGGATAAAGATGGGACGTGGGCCAGCTAGATAGCTCAGCAGATTAAAGCCTGCTTAGGCAGACACAGGAACCTGGGTTCCATGCCCAGCAAGCCATGCAGTCCCCGCCCCTGGGGCGTGCTGAGACAGTGATTGAGGCTGGGCGTGGTGGCGCACACCTATAATCCCAGCATTTGGGAGACTGAAAACAAGAAGATCACTGAGTTCAATCTGTGTAGTGAGATACCGTAGACCCTGCACTAAACACATTAAAAAAAAAAAAAGATGGGAGGATGAGGACAGGTGCTGGTCAGATTCCTGCCTGTGACCCAGCTCACAGTGTCTCATCGCCGGGCTGCACTTAGCTCTGAGGTGTCACTGAGCAGGTGAAGGTACCTCCAAGGGACACCCGGAGGCCCTGGTCTGCAGCGCCAAGGTGCACGTGTGCTCCGAGCTCATACCTGACAGCTGCTGCACTCCCAGGGAAGACACTAAGGATCACAGACTGCCACTGGGGAGAACGTCAGTAATGCTTTCATAAAGCTAAGCAGATACCTTCCCTACAAACCATCAATTCCTCTCTTAGGTATTTAACCAAAGGAAATAAAAGCACATCTCCAAAAAGGAAAAAAGAAGCGCATACAAGTACGTTTATAGTAGCTCTATTCATAGAACTAAAACTCAGGAGCAACAGAAATGTCTGTAAACAGAATTGCAGAAAACAAATGGGTAGAGAGAAATAAAAAG